ATGTTGAGAGAACATGGAGATGGCCTCTCTAACATCTGTACCCCTTCTCTCAGAAACTATCTTTTTTTTTTTTTGTCATTTAGGTTTTACATCTCTGGGCAGCTCATATGATTTCAGGGAAGCTGACTTCATGCTCGACTCTGAGGCTCAGGTGGAACCTAATTAGCACAGCCCCATCTTCTGCTCACAGGAAGAGGCATGTGACCCAGTGTGTTACTGAAGTGTGAGGAGGGTCTGGGGAGTAAGTTTTCTTGACCTTCCAAGGATGTTTCCAGAGCACTTTTCTTTCTCCCTTTGTGAGTTATCACATATAGATGTGAAGACTGGAGCTACTGCAGCCGTCTCACTGCCATGAGGGAAGTCTGCCTACAAATACAGATGACACAGAGGGGAACTGAGTGCTAGACCTAGAATGCAGATGGAACCACGCCTGATCACCTGTCCAGCTCAGGATGTTTGGAGTGACTTAAACCAACACGTTTCTGTTTAAACAACTGAGTTAACAAAGGTGGTTAGGGTACTTACTGAGGGTCCACCCAGAACCTTGATTATGTTAATGAGCATTGTTGTACTATTTCCCAAATGTATTTGGCTGTGGGTTCTGTTCTTTCATAGTGCATCCACAGGACAAGATCTAGTCGAACTCTCAAGTTTTATAAAACTATAAACTGAGATCCAGAGGTTTAAGTGACTTTTTTTAAGTGATGACAGTTGACGCTTCAACAACACAGATTTGAACTGTGCAGTTCAAACCCATGTTGTTCAAGAGTCAATTGTATTAGTAGATAGTCACAGACCTGGGTCTAGAATATAGGCTTCTGGACCCCTAGGCCTGAATTCTTGATTCAAGGTCATACCTCCTCTCTGCCCACAGAGGGCAAGTGGTTCCCTCACTGAAGACAAATCTCAAAAGGAATAATTATTCTTTTGCAGAGACTCCAGATTCACAGTATATTATAAAGCAAAGGTTGCAAATTAGAGAGCTGACAGGTAACATAAGAACCTTACTTTGGTCAAATAAAATAGGTCTGAAGTATTGAAAAAATTTTTATCAGTTACCAACATTTAAAAATCAGGTTATTTCAAATGAAAATCTTAATTTGTAGCTCCTCTAATAAAACTCAGACAATCTGGAAACACGAGGCCTATATTTCCACATGGTAACCAGCTAGAGCTCAGTGGCCAGCTCTGCCTCCTGAGATAAATGCATGGGACCCCTGTTTGCCACAGTCCCCACCACTCCCTATTGCATCCCAACACTGATGCCAAGTGTCAGGTTCCATTTATCAGCACCCCCAACACAGTGCTTTCCTCTTTGTATCCAGTCTAATTCATTCAACTACCTTCCTGGCCCTGTAGTCAATTATTTTGCTATACTGGAAAAAGTAATAAATATTAAAAAAAAATATTTCCAAGATTCAGTACATTTGGAACAACACTGAGTTAATCAATGACGAACAGGTTTCTTTACTGTGCATCTTTTCTTAGTCCTTCATAGGTCATGGATTAGAAGGGCTAGCATACATACATATATAGATATAGATATATAGATATTTTTTGGCCATGAATGTCTTTTTTCAGAGACCATATCTTTGTCCCTATTAGTCCACTAAGAATACTTTGGACAGTACTGCCACAAACCCCCCTTATCTCCTTCCCTGCCAATAAGCCTGTGGAATGTCTCTCATTGCTAGTGTTATTATTACCCAGTGTTCTACTGTTTCCCGGAAGTTATTTTGAGAAGAGAGCAACAGCAGTCTGGTTTCCACTGGGCCAGCATGCAGCACAGGTCAGTCTGTGGTCTGAACAACACTAACGTTAGCCCCCAAAACAGGCCCATTATTCTGGGATGCTTAGGGCAGAGGATTTCTGGCAGAGCTGGGAGAACAGGGCCACACTAATTGAGGTTCACATGCATTCCTCCCCAGGGAACCAGCTTCCTGGCTCACTATCTTCTCAAAAAAAAAAAAAAATTTGGAGAAAGGTAGAAAACAAAAAGCAATGGGGCGGGTTGGTGATAGGAGAAAAGCAATACTTTCTTAAAAAGCAGTCTCTTCAAAGAAAGGCATCAGACACCAACAGCTATGTTTCCCTCTCTTTATAATTCCCTTACTCAAATGTGAGGAATGACTAAATCTCAACTCTAGGTTGTGCCAACAACATTCAAGACAATGAGGCCTAGCTGAGAAGAAAACAACAACACCCAAAACAAAACCCTTGAGATTAAAATTTTTAGCTGCACAATTGTGGCCCTGCATGCAGAGGCCGGATGCTCATCTGAAGCTGGGGAAGGGCATGGAGTTCCTCTTAGGGGTGCCCTGCAGACACCTGAGTCACTGGCATTAGTTGGTCTCCTCAGAAGGTTCCCCTTGCTACAACTTTCCAAGTGGACTTTGGCTTATAAAGCCCTCATCAGCCAGCTCCAAGATAGTCACCTTCCACTCCCACGAGAAAGGGGACCCCTCCTTAGAAGGAAACAGCCCCTGAGAAGCTGTTGTGCACCCTTGAAGTAAGCCCCTTTCTTTCTAAGATTGACCAAAGCAACTGCAGAAATACTGCTGGATTGGGGTTGATAAAGTCAGAGGGAAGACATCAGAGGGAGATGGACAGTTTCCTTGAGAGAGATGGACAGCTTCCTTATCTGCCAAGAAACCAAGCCGTCATGGGCTAGTGGTTCGACCAGCTGAGGCTTCTCATTACTAGCCCAGAAAGCACTCAATCACTGCAGTCCATCTGTAAGCCCAGACTCAACTCCCTTGCTTCTTCTTTCCAGGCTACATGAGTTGTCACAAAGTTGAGACACACGATAACTCTATTTTCTTCCCTTACTGATTGAGAGCATGTCCTATTCCTACCATCCCAGGTTGGTCAATCGCTCAATGGAACCTTTGTCAAACAATAACATGTATAAGATAACATTGAATAATGTCGCAAGACGGGTGGGGTGCAGCTTTTGCTTTGGTTGGGAAACATCAGAGAGGACGCTTAAGGACAGGCTTGATGATGGAGCTAATATGAGCTTCATGTTCTCAAAATAAAGCAATCTGAGCTTGCATATTGATCACTGATTGCACGTCAGGCATCGTACTAAGCACCAAGGATCACCTTGTGCAGTTCTCATGACCACCCAGGAAAACTGTGCAATTTTATGAATGACAAAAGGAGGCTCAGAGAGATTAGGTCAGCTGCCTAAGACCACGTAGCTCATGCCTGATGGAGACAGTGTTCAACCCGGGCAGTGTCTTTGGTGCTGTTCCTCCCAACACAACACTTTTCTGCTCGTCTGACCGACAGTGATGCCTCACCTCCTGGAAGGTCTCCAAACAGGCTCCAAGGTGCTCATGGCCACACTAAGAATGGATGAAAATTTATGCAAGCTTCTTAAATACAGAACGCATTTGAAATACCTAAGGACGTGCCGCATAATAAAGACCTCCTAATTTTAAATAAACAACTGACTCAAGCCTCCATTTTTTGTTCTTGTTGTCGTTACTCTTTCTGGTTTCTGGTTTTAGACCATAATCCTCACTGTGGAGAACTGAACGGCTCCACTGACATAAAATAATGTTCTCTCCCTATGCCATTCTTTCTATACACAGCTGCCGCAGTGGCAGCGGCCACAGACAGATCAGAGCTGGGGCCCACAAGCCTTCCCCAAAGTGTTTCGCGTTACCTGCTGTAGACGAGACATTCTCCATTATTGATCACTTTATCAGATTTGTACCTCCGGAGGTCTTCCCAAGCATCCTTGATGGCAGTGACCCCCAGGATGATACAGATTGGTATCACGTTCACCTCAGGCTGGAAAGCATTGACCACGGGAACAAAATTCAGAATTGCAATGCCCACAAAATAGAGATTGGCAAACCGGTGTAGCTGCTCAAAGATGTTTTTGGGTACGAAGGACAGCACAGTGTACTTGCTGGTCTTAATTTGATTCCCGCAATAATGCCTGTTGGGGTTCTCCTTGTGGGACCATCCTTCAAAGGGCAGGTTGGAGACCACCACGCGTTTGTCTTCTTTCCTTCTTCGCTTTCGTTTCCCTTCCTTTCTCATCTCTGCTGTCATCCTGTCTCTTTAATTCTCATAGCATGGCATATGAGTTCCCCCATACAAGAGGTTTTTCCCTGGTCAGTTCCATCATTCAGCTACTGGCAAGTCATGTCCCGGACACCTTTTACCTCCTTTCTCTTCTGGAGATGTCTGTCTTCTTTTAAAACGAAAATGGAAGACAAAGAACCAGTGTACAAACACCAGGGAAGACGTATGACAAGAAAAGAGCTTGCAAAGAACAGGTGTGTATCTGCCGGGCCACTTCCTTCTACTTGTTGAGACTCCACCTGTTGGAATGTAGACGTCACCCACAGGTATCTTTCTTTTCTACCCCAGGCAGCCAAGAACAGGTGTGCCAATGCTGGGTCCTAAAACCTACCTGGTTCAGTTCTAAAAGCAAGGGCTTTTAGCCAAGAGGCTCAGATGCTTTAAAAATAGGATCCATTTCCTTGTTGGGGAGACACTGCCTGTCACCCTCCAAACAGCTGCTCCTAAACTTGGTCTCCTGAGACGATCCAGGCAATGCTAGACTTTAATTCTTGAGCTTTCAACCCCACTCTCAACAATAATATAACATTCTTGTGCTTAATTGTATGAGTGTTTACACAGTGAAATGAAGTTTTCTAAATCTCAGCACTGCTGATGTTTTGGGCTGGATAAGAATTCTTTGCTGTGGGGGCTGTCCCGTATATGGCAAGAGGTTTAGCTGCATTCCTGGCCTCTGCCCACTTATTGCCAGCAGCACCATCCTTCCCAAGATGGCAACCAAAATGTCTCCAGACATTGTCAAATGTCCCCTGCAGGGCAACATTGCCCTGGTTGAGAATCACTGAATTAAATGAATTTAAGAAACTAGAATGTGACAACAGAGACCAATCCTTTGAAAGTGCCGATGGTTTTGCATAACTTACTTGCATGTGAGAAAATGAAAGCAGGATCCCTCTTACCTTTCGTATATCTGGATGTTGGAGCAGTTTATCTCTCGATCAAAGCGGTGTTTCTTGAAATCCTCCATGCCGTCCTTGACCATGATGATGGAGAGCACAACGACCAACGGTAACATGGTGATTTCTCGGTGGAAAACTTCCATGGCGGGCATCCAGTTCAGAATCACCAGGAACAGGAAATAGAGGTTAGCCCACCTGGGAGGGGCGAGCAAGGTGTGAGTGAAAATCATGGGGAAGGAATATATTGTCTTCACACGGTTTCTTCCCTACTGTTGGCCCTTACCCAACTAAAATGACATTCTCTTTCACTGTCACCTCAAACATTATGGTAAGGACTCTGAAGCCAAATCTATCTAGATTCAAACTCGCTTCCTATTGTTCACTAGTTGCGTGACCTTCCTGAGCCTGTTTCATCTCGTGTAAAATGGGGATAGTACTACCTACTTTAAAGGGGTATTGTAAGTATTACATGGATAATATTTGTTAAGTGCACAACAGAGGGTTCTGCAACATAATAGTTGCTCAATAAAGGGTAGCGTATAATAATTACAAAATTTAGGATGATACCTAAGTGAATATTTTGCTTTATAATTACAGTGATTTGGCATATATTATCTCAAAGGAGTTGCTTGCATTTTTAAGTTTTCCAAGTGCATGTGGCTCCCTCTTGCCACAGGCTTGCATTTTTAAGTTTTCCAAATGCATGTGGCTCCCTCTTGCCACAGGACCTTTGCACGTGAAGGTCTGTCTGCAGGAACATTCTCCTGGCTCCCTTCCCTGACTTCTCTTGGCCTCTTTCCACCCAGTTAATGTATTCTGTTCTTTCATTTCAAATGTCACTTCCTCCTGGAAGTCTTCCCTGACTTTCTTGTCTCAGCCAGGTTTCCCTTTTACTCTAACAGCACCATATATCTCTCCTTGGAAGTGCCTATGTGAGTTATATAATTTTACATCAACTTATGTAATTCTTAAAATTAATGTCTGCCTCTTTCACTACACAATCAAGTCAGGACTATGTCTTTCTTTTTTTCCCCCTCATGTATTTATCACTCAACACATGGCCTACCACAGGGTAGACTCTGATAAATACTGAGTGAATGAATGAATGAATGAATGAATGAATGAATGACAAGTCTTTTCAAGGTACATGCATTTGGATAGTAAATGAACGGTGGCCCAGAGGGCAGCATCTGTGAGTTCGTCTGAGGGGCAGATACTTGGTTACACTGGGTATTGTTTGGCCAAGTGCTTCCGTACCTGTGGAACTGCTCCAAGAGGTTCTGGGGAAGGAAGGTGAAAAGGGTGTACTTGGTCGTGCAGATTCTATTGCTGGAGTATCTCCCGGAGACCTTTGCCCAATTGTGGTGGAACAGGCTGTTGTTGGGGAACACGACCCGCTGCTGCGTCAGGTTGTGGCTCTGCCTCCCCTTCTCTGGGGACAGCAGTGGTGTGGCCTCTGATGGAGCCTGGAGGAGGCCATCTCTAATTCGCCACTGCCACCGGTGCCAAGACGAGTCCACTGAGAGGGCCATTTCTGGCAGCAGGCTGCAGTCTGAAAACAGACACATGAAGTCGCTATAGTCAGATGAAATATGTGGCACACCGGCTCATCCATCTGTCCACCCATCCATCCAAGGAAGATTCTGGGTGTGAGAAAAACAGGCTCAGCCCCTCATCACCCGTATGTTCTGGGGTGAGAGACAGTAAGCAAATAATCATGTAAATAATACACAAATAACCCTGATAAGAGCCACGGGAGCTTTTCAGGGGGTTGGGGCTCTCAGCCACAGTATGGCCTGGTGAGCCATGATCCCAGAGGTCACAAGTTGAGCTCCGGTTCACTGCTGACACTGAACTGTCCCTTCCCCTTGCTGGTCCTCAGTTTCCTCATCGCAATATGAGGAAAACTATTCCTATTTGACTTTTCTCACAAGCTTTTTGTGAGGAACAAACGGGACAGTATACGTTAAAGTACGTTAAGACATGTCTTAAAGGAAAAGGTATCTGTGCTTTAGTTTTTCCCTAGCTAAAATTTTCTGATCCTGATGATATTTCAGAGAACCTCATTTATGGTCGGAACCTCAAATGAGAGTGATAGGTGAGACAGAAGAGAAAAATTATTTTCTAGGACACTGAGGCCTGAGGTGGCTGGGCTGAGTTGAATGTTATTCCATGAACACCAGCTGGTTTTTTCTGGCCTGGTTGACTGGGGGTGGGGGTGGGGGTGCAGGAGATCTCTTCCTTTCTCTCTGCATTTCGTAGTTTCTGAAACTGAGTCAAGCAGACAGCTCCCTAGATGGTGGAGAGATGCCACTTTATCTAGGATATTTCAGTTTCTGAGCTCTTTAAATGGGACCTCTAAGCAAGACCTCAGGGTTCCTTTTAGCCAAATCTTGTTCAAAGACTCAGAAGGATATTATTCAAAGACATCCTTTGTAAAGTCAGAAATTGTATATAATGGTGCTTCTCACCTAGTAGGGTCACCGGATGATTTTCTTTTCAATAAATGGATGAGTGAATGTCAGGTATTATTAATCTTACAATGAGCTACCCCACCTGTCATTGTAAATATGATTCACTTAAGGACAAAAAACGTCCCATTTCTAGTTTAAATGGTAATATTTTACCTTCCCAATGCCCATATGAACTGACCCTTATCATAATTCCCCTCATGACTTTAATCATTCCAAATGATTTTCAATCCACAGACCCCAAGGCTGCAAGGAGCTCTTCAAAGGCTTAAGTGAGTCCCTGTAACAAGCATGAAAAAAATAAATGCAATTACTGATGCCCATCATAATGTGGCCAAAAGCAATATCATGACATTTGACAAGCCAGAAATAATATTGTATATCTTCTTTCTCATTATAAAAAAATATGCCCCTTTTATGGATTCTTTTTTTTATTGTAAAGAAAAGGAAATGAAAAGATAATTCATGAATAGAGTAAAAATGCAAATGAGAAATATTGCTTTAGCTGACGCCATACGTATGAGACTTCACACAATTTCAGGTGATAAGATCTTCATAAATGAAGAGATTGGATCGATGTGGGAGATGCAGGTATTCTAGGCAGGGTGGTTTAAACAGCCCATTTATCATAATCAAATTCTTTATTAACAACATAAAATAAGCTTTCTTTAAAAAATAAAGCGGATGTGAAACGGATGCCAGACTATTGGATGAAAGTTTGACAAGGAACTGGGCATTTCTATAGTTTCAACATATCTTTCCACCAAATTATTAATTACCATGGTAAAAAAAAAAAGTATCACTTTGCAGTGGAGAAAACTGGCAGACACCACCTTACCCATGGGATCAAAGCAAATATCAGGAATAGTGGGATAACTTGACATCTTGTGTCTCCTGATTTGGTATACTGAGAAGGACATGATATCACTTCGGTGGCAGTCACAAGGAGATATTGAAAAACCCCAAATTGGGGGCTATAGATATCTAGCTTATGTTTTTTCAATTATTAAAGGTCAAGGAAAGGCAGAGGGCTGTTTCCTATTAAGGAGACTAAAAAGAGATGACAAATAAACATAATGAGTGATCCTGGATTCAATCCTGAACTAGAGGGAGTAAAATAAGTCTAAAGGACATGATTGGACAATGGGCAAGATTTAAATGTAAATCGCAGACTAGGTAACAGTATTTTAATAACGTCAAATTTCCTGATTTTCAATATTTATATGGTAGCTACATAAAAAAAAATGTTCTTGTTCCCAGGTATGGGTAAAGGATCAAGGCATCTCAATGGTTCAGAAAATAATGTATATATTTGTATGTGTATGTGTATATATGTATATATGTACACACACACACACACACAAGGTGGCAGAGTCAGGAAGACTTCCTGGAAAAAGGAATGTTTATTTAAAGTTACCTAAAGAAATTCATAAGAGTTAGCTAGGTAGGGAGGTTGTGGAAGGTTGTCCCAGGTAGAATGGGTTCTAGAAACAGAAAGTTCATGGGCGTGTTCTACAGAGGGCATGGAATTCAGGGACAAAGAGGAGTGAAAGTTGAGGCTGGAGAGAGAAACAAGGGCCAGGTGGCCTGTGAAGGCTGCTTGCTATGCTGAGAGTAAGAGGGGCCCTGCAGAGTTTTAGGCGGGGAAGTGACATGAGCAGAGCTGTGGACCCCAGGATTTGTGTTGGCCCAAACACACAAGAATGGGCTGGAGGGGCCAATTTTGGGGTGGGGAAGGCAGCTTCTTAATTCATTGCCGCCCCTTTCTTCCAGTAAATTACTTCTTTGCAAAAGCAGAACAGGAAACAAAGGAGGATTGTGCAATCCTTTTATCTGAGGTGTGGTTTATTACTGCTTTCAGAAAGGGAGGGGCATGTCTGAAGCAACTCTGCAAGGTCCTCCCAGTGGTAAAGTCCTTTTGCTCATTCTAATTGTTTGAAATTGCACCTCTCACTAACAATAGACTCCAGTTTTGCTAATTCACACGCACAAGACTCTGGCTTGAAGTGGTAATCCTCTCCAGTACCAACGTCATTTTTCCCTTTTCCCTGCACAGAATGTCCCCTAGCTGGTGGTTGGGGAGGCATTCCTGTATGGGGGGGGCCATCAGCTTACCATACTGGGTTAATTGTAGTTTGCTGAGAAATGCTGGTCCATTCCCAAGCTCTCTCCATCCTGTCTGGCCATATTTTCAATTAACCCCAGTTCCTTTCTTTTTCATTTTAATGAATCCCAGTAAACCCCATCTTTAGCAAAATTCATTTTCAGTGTTAGGGGTCAATCAACCAGTCATTCACTGAATCAACAAATACTCACTGAACCCTTGTTGCGTACTTGGTGAGTAAAACCTATACATCCATTCCTGTCTTCTTGGAGCTCGCACTCTGAGTGAGGCCGACAGATTTTAAACACATGCTCATAGAAATAAACACAAAGGTTGCCAAAAAAAAGGTACACATTTTAAGACAGGAAAAAAACTATTAAAATTGTAATACTCAATAGATACTGATAACAAAAGATGAACACGTCATGTGCATACTTTTTTTTGGCACCCCCAGTAAATATTCACCAACCAGGATAAGAATCATACAGGAGAACAAAGTGCAATGTGACCTCATTACAGAGGATGCGACCTTGTGGGGCTTGAGCTGAGATTAAGGGATGAGTGAGAGGCAACTGGATGGACTAGTGTGTGTGTATCTGTGTATCTGTGTGTGTTGTGTGTATATTGCTGTGTGTGTGTGTGTGTGTGTGTGTCTGGAAGTCAGCATCCCAGGAAGAAGCAGCCCCCTTTGCAAGCTTCCTTTTGGCTACAGCAAATATAATGACTTCAAAAAATGGAATGAAGACTCAAGTAGGGCTAGAATGCAAGGATAGGTTGTTACTACAAAATTATTTTCCATTCATGTTCAGTTCTCTAAAAAGTATATCAGTTGGTCAGGATCATAGGGGGTGGGGAAGGGAGCAGGCTTTTAAAATTTAATCTACCCTTAGATTCTCAATAAATAGTACACTATCCTAATAGTAGAATTAATTAGAATCTAAGAAAGTTTGGCCTTAGCCACAGGGGTTTTTAAAGCACTCTACCCTGAGGACAAAATGTGTACATCTCACAGAAAGAATTTCCTGTTAGACACCTAGTTAACAAAAGATAAGCACCTTAGAAGAAACAGTCTGAAGTTAGCATATCCTCAAATCAATCAATTATATTAGTTTTCCTCAAATTGTAGTTATTCTTGAATTACCTTTCCAATTTTTGCCATTCCCAAATATCATTTGTTTCATTAAATGCAATATATTTTACGTCAACTTATTTATTTATTTATTTATTTATTTATTTATTTATTTATTTATGAACAGTGTGTTTTTCCAGGACCTGTCAGCTGCAAGTCAAGTAGTTATTTCAATCTAGTTGTGGAGGGCGAATCTCAGTGGCCCATGTGGGGATCGACCCGGCAAACTTGGTGTTATGAGCTCTGTCAACTTACTTTTGAAAAGCTAAAATATCACCTTTGGCTTTGGGTTAAAGCATTGATATCTAAAATTAAGGGATTTGTTCTAGACCTGCTACCTCTAGTTGCTGTTCTGAGAACCATGTTCAGAAACATCACCAATCACCCAGGAAGCATCAGTCATTATCATTATTTGAGGCGCATCTACTAATGCAGAAAAGGCTGCAAACATGTTTTGCAAGTTGTTTCTTTGTGTGTATGTTTCCCACAGATGTGTCAAAACAACAACAGCAACATCAACAAAAGGCTTTTCATTAACCCTGAATCAAATTAAAAACCCAGTGAACCAGATTCCTATCGGTTCCCCGAGCATCCTACTAGATCAAGGAAAGATTTACAGTAAACAACTTTATCATCAATTTCTTATTCATTTTGCTTGAGGAAATGGCCATCGCATTTATGTAGCTTTCTAGCTATTTTATGCATACCCATTTTACAGACGAAGGAACAAAAGTAAGGGGAATAGAATAATTCCTCTCTAGAATCTGTCATTTTTTCCTACTGCCTTTCAGGGAAACTTATACTTACTAGACTCCAAGATGCACTTTTTGTCCCCTCACATTTTAATG